CTTTTAAGTGTATTTTAATACTCTGCTTAAAAGTTTAATAATATCAGTCTCCATATATAAGATAGTGAACACATATAGAAGGTAATATATAGTGTGGGGCTGAGCCCTACCACCCTTAAATTTTTGGTTACGCCGCTACATACCAGTAGCAGGATACTTTTTTCAGGTACCCTTAGCTCAGTACATTCACTAGGGATTCTTGATTTAGAAAATGCGCAGCTTCTTCGTCTTTCACGTTTTAATCTAAAAGTGCTTCCACTAACAACAATGAATCACCTCGAATGTGGCGATTCCATAATTATTGAATTAATCTTTTCTGTTAGATTCAATTTAATTGAATGATATGAAGTTAGAAGGTTTCAAATGTAAATCATTTCTTTCTTCCAATCTGATTTAATGGTTTTATAACGATTTTCTTCCAAAATATTTTTCAAGTTTATAAATACATTTATTTTTCTTGATTAATACTTAGCATGGTACACAGTGACAATTATAAAAAAAAGCATGAAGAAAACAAATATTAGTTTTAATAAAAGGTTGAGTTACTAGCATCGATGGCATTTATGATTCCACCATCGGTTTTGTGGTAAATTCTGTGGATCCTCATCAGTAACACGAAACATCAGTCCGTATACCAAGATACCATTAAGAGCTTTAATATTTTCTCCAGGTTTCCATCGAATAATCCATTCGAGTTCATTATTACTAAAATGTAGATCTGCTCTTTCTGTATCATATGGAATTGCTTCGTACAATGTCCCTTGATGTTTCTCGATCAGTAGCGGATCAATCCGAACTTGAAGTACCATTTGAACATATTTGGATTTAATTTGGAGAACTTTTGCATAACAAGGATGCCCGCTGTATTCGATACTTGGACTGAGGTAGACAGCACTTTGATTTTTTTTTGAGAAAACATCCATGACCACTGGCTCGAAGTCCATTAAGAAGAATTGCCATTGCTAGGGTTCCAGCTGTTCCATGATAAGCTATTGCCCATCGTCCATATTCTTTTTCAAATTGTGCTCCTGTCATACCAACATCTATGGCATATCGACGCCATCCAACTGGACAATAATATGGTTCTCCTCCTCTATCCAAACTTGTTGAGAACCATGTTGGAATGAAACCTTCAGCTGTTTCTCGTTCTTGATAACTATAAATTCGATTATAAGCTGGATTCATAGCATGTCGAAATCCGTTGATTCCAAAATTTCCAATTAAAACACTACATATTCTAAGATTAGCAAGCTTTGAAATAATTTTTGCGATCAAATGAGGAACATTTTCATCAATCTCCACTTTCAATTTAATCATTTGTATACCATCATTCATTTCGACTTTTTTCGATTTCACATTTTTAAACATATTACTAATATCGTCAAGTATACGTTCAGCAGTACCATGTCTATTAGTAGAAACGAGCACAAAAGTGAAATCAATGATTCTTCTCTCACCAGTTGGAAGCAAAAGTTGTCCGTAAGAAATACATGGTAATAAAGATGTATAATTAGTAGGTCTTTCCTGTGCGGCGGCATCATGAATGACCTGTCTGGTAGCGTTGTTGTGTTCTTGTAACAGTTCGGGTTTGTTGAGTACGACAGCATACAAAAATTTACGCATTCGTTCCAGTTCGGTCATCGCGACAGATTTTCCAATTATGAAATCTTGATCAAGTGGTAACATCTCACGTACTTGTCGGGTCCATTGATTAATACATGATTGGAAATGTTGAAAATCATCTTCTAATCCTTCAACTCGAAGAAAACCTTCAAGCTGGTGGTCAGATACACCATGTCTCATCACGAAATTAGTTAAATAATTTGCAGTATTAGTAAACCATTCGGGTTTTCCCCGGCATAATAGTCTAGGATATTTTCGGATGCTATCCGATTCCGAATCTCTTAGAATAAATCGTGAGAATAGTTGTATAGGAACTGTAGCTATATCTCCTATTTGGCCGATAGTATCAACCGCACCAAATGTCAATGTGTTAGCAGTTTGTATCGGTACCAGTTTTTCTTTCAATGGTTCGAAAACTTGACGAATATTTACCACTATCTCGGATGCTAGAGTAGTAATTTCTTCAGGAGAAGGTCGTCGTACGCGACGCTCGAAAAATTTTTCCACACGTTCATTTATTGTTAGATTATCATTATCCAAAAAATCAAGAGCATCGTCGCTTAGTAAACTTTCAAATCCAGATTCTTGTAATGATTCTATCATCGAACCAACACCTAAACCATTCACATAATCAAAAAAATCACGTAATGCGGTCATCATTTGAAAAACACTGATACTGTGTTCTAGCGGATCAAGATGACGTATCAAATCATGTTTGTATTCATTTTATTTTCTTTGTGTAACTTGATGATTAAAGACATCAATAAATCGATCGACACGTTTGCGAAGTTTTGGAAAAAATTCCATGTCACCTTGTTTTAACATTTCTTCCAATAAATCTGCACTAGGATTTGTATTGTTACCTTCGGCCATGTTGAAATGATAATGTTTGAAGACAACAAATGGTAAAATCTAAAAGTAATAGGTGATATATATATATATTTAGTACTGGAAAGAAAAGACCATGCCATCTAAATAAAAATGTTTTGTTTGATAGTATTATCGTATGTGTTTGATACTTTTCAAGCATACAGATATGTAAAGTACTAAAAAAGCGGACATATCCAGATAAAAGTGACTTTTCTATTGTTTTCCTTGATGATTTCTTCTTTCCAACATGAAAGTTGAGTCATTCACCTTTGTTCTTAAGATAATGATAACAAGTTAGATAAAGTAGAAAAAATTCAAATATGACCATAATCAGACATGTGAAGTTATGTAACGAAAGAACAAGAAAAATAAATGGTTTCAAACAGGAGCACATACTCTTTGTTTCACTATTTTTATCGTTTTGTTTCTTTTCTGTACGTTATACATTATTTTTTTACTAGCAGGTGTGGGTTTAGGTTTATCTTATACTAACTATACCCATACCCACACCCACACCCTAGTTTTTAAGACCAAGTTTAACGATGTTTTCCAGCTAGTTTTCTTAGATAAAACTACACATTAAACTAAAAACGTTATACTGGTTCAATAGTAAATCATGTAGAAGGCAGAGAGGTCTCATTCGAAAGCTCATAGTGTGGCGCATAACATGCATTAAATTCTAAGTTTTGAAGTTGAGCTAGTGAATAGCACCATACTATAACAATGGTACAGGGTAGTAGTAAAATTTACTAAACTGTATAAAACTCTACTAAAATGGATTATTTCTATAACAATTATATACCATTTTGTTCAGTTTTCGATGCTCTTTCTAATGATTTCCTTCAAAGTCGAAAATTCAAACGGAAAATTTCTATAACTTTTAATTAATATTGATTAAATATAATTAGTATTAGTTAGTGATAATTAATGATTTTCAAAAGATAATTTTTACCAATCGATAGCGCGTTCAATTCTGTATTGAATGGTATATAAAAAAGTTTTGAAGAATTATTTCATAGGAAAAAATTTAATAAAATATTAAAAGTGACTTAAAATTTTGTCCACTGGGGAAAAACGGTTTCTGTCATAAAAATTAAAATAGCTGAGCTTTATTGTTTTTTTCTTCTCGAGTTTGTAGCCCGTTTCGAGAGCTACCGAAATCACTATTTAGATGTCGATCCTGAGTGGTCTTTCATGGGGAAAATCGAAAAACAAGAGGTGTCTTAAAATGTTGTCCGCCACTTTAGATTTGTTTTCAATGTCGTTTCGTCGATCGAATTTTTCTGAAGAGCATTTTTAAATATTTTGAATTTGTTTTTACTGAATTCATTAGCTATTTGGACATAATTAGGCGCAGGATCAGATAAATAGTAATTGTTACATTTGTTGTCTAAATGATTCTTAACATTGTATTAAAAACGTGTTTTTCGTAGAAATAATTTAGGAACTTGTTATGTTATATCTTATTTTCAGTCACGTTGTCGAAAAAAGTGAGCACAAGTGTGACTGATGTCATATTTCTAACTATTTCATCATTAAAAGGCATCATCATGAATGAGTTTCATTCTATTTAATGGAAAAAATAAATCTATAAATCAGCAAAGTCATCGTTGTAAAAAAAAAGGCCATCTGATAGTGACAATGCTTTATTGCTATTGTGATCTACTTTTGCTTTCAAAAGCAATGAACATTTCAAGTTTTGTAAAGCAAATTTCATCAAGTTTCTAGACGAAGACATATGAGCAAGTATAAAACAATAAATCTTCACAATTCTACTAAAGTACACTTACTTGATTGTCCTTGAAATGAATGACCTGGTGTATTATTAGTTTTGTGTGCTTCAAGAACAATGAAATTTCTTTTGTTATCATCAATATGAGAAAATTGAAAGATGACATATATCTTATTGCATATGTCGTTCTTAAAAGGCTTTAACTGTTTTTTTTTCTGCTTAGTTCTATTTCATTTTGATTCTTTTATTATAGTGGCAAACATTTCTCACAGTGCTTATATCAAAAAGAATAAAGTTTTACTTTCGGATGATGTCAATGAATTATCTTGTTGTGCTTTCCTTGTTTACATGGATGTAAGTATCTATTCGACATGTTTCTTAACGATAGCAGATGATCATTTATAGTTTTTCATTTCTTTCTGCATGCATAGTCGTTTATTCATATGACAATAAAGTTTAATCAACAAGAATTAATTAAAGCATAAGAGAGATATTAATTGAATAAACAATTTGATTTTTTAGTTTTTTAAGTTGAGAATTTCTGTTCAAGGAACTTATGCCGTTAGTTGATTCGGCTGCCAAACGTATGCGTCGGTTACTTGTCATGAATTCACTCAATGAAATTATTCTCTCTGACGGTGTACTGGTGGCAGATACACACGAATGTTTTCGAATAGTGTTTACAATCGTACAAAATCTATCTTTGTTTTGATTCTATCAGATAGAAACACATGTTTCGTTTCATTTTAGCGTCTCCAACGAAGCTGGATTAGGTATGAATGTTCATGCTGCAACCCTGTTCAATTCACGCAAAACCACTGTCGGTGAGAAATCATCCAATGCTATGACTATTACTGAAATATATGATCCATTAGCGGATCAATGGACTACTACTGGAAGCATGGCAACACCACGTATATTTCATACTGCAACTCTGCTCAATTCGGGCAATGTTCTTGTTTGTGGTAGTGGAGGATATACTGGTTATACAGCTACATGTGAAATATATGATACATTAACTGGGCAATGGCACAGTGCTGCAAGCATGTCAACACCACGTGGTTTTCATACTGCAACTTTACTCAAATCGGGCCAAGTTCTTGTCACTGGTGGTAGCACCTTTGATATAAACAGTGCTCTGACTAGTTGTGAAATATATGATCCATCAATGAACAAATGGAGTCCTACTGCAAACATGACGGGAGCACGTTCTGGTCATACTGCAACTCTACTCAATTCAGGAAAAGTACTTATCACGAGTGATGCGGCTAGTTCTCAACTATATGATCCATCAACGGGTCAGTGGAGTACTCTTAAAAGCATGGGACCAAAAGCACGTTACAATCCTACTGCAACTATGCTCAAGTCAGGCGAAGTTCTTGTCATTGGTGGCGTCGAATCAGCTAGGTATTCGGCTACTACTGAAATATATCATCCATCAACAGACCAATGGGATACTATTGGAAGTATGGCAACACCACGTCAATTTCATACTTCAATTCTGCTCAGTTCGGGTAAAGTCCTTGTCACTGGTGGCGTGGGTGATGCAGATTTTTTGGCCAGTTGTGAATTATATGATCCATCAACGGCTAAATGGAAAAATATTACTAGTATGACAGAAGAACGTTCGTCTCATACTACAACTATGCTCAAATCAGGAAAAATTCTTGCTACTGCTGGCTATGGATACACAGGTTATCTTGATAGTTCAGAAATATATGATCCATCAACAGGCAAATGGATTCCTAGTGCAAAGCTCTCAACAACACGTGCTTCTCATACTGCAACCATGCTCAAGTCAGGCAAAGTTCTTATCACTGGTGGTGAAAAACAGGGCAGTGCTAGGACTATTGGTCATCCAAAAAAAATAATAGCCTACGGACATTTTTAAATAAATCAATAACAAAAATAGTTAGAGCGATGGATATGTCACCTTTCGCTGGTCTTCCTTTCCTCTTTGCACTTTATTCTCTCTCTATTGTTATGTCATGTGCCTATCTTTCTCTCTTTTTTTTTCTTTCATATATAAGCGTGTGTTGTATTGTGAAGTAGCTCAATAGACATCACTATCAAGGCTGCCGATAAAGATACTTCTGGTGTTTGTCATTACGATGGAGTTTTCAGATATCGAAAGAGGAGTTTGTGAAGCATCTTTTTGCAAGTGAAAAGATCTTTGATTCAGCCGTTCTTAACTGGGAAAATTTTGTTTTCGGAAAGAATGTATTATTAAATTACACAATTTGAATTTGAAGTAGATTGATAACCTGCAGAAAACTTTAAGATTCGTCTTGTCTTCAGTATTCATATTTTAGTTAAATTATTACAATAATGTTACAAAATGCTGACACAATCTATTGAACACCTTGATTCTCGTTAAATTGCCAATTTCTGGATCGTGGTTACTGCTGTACGGGTTCCGACTATGCGACCCATCCTTACCCCAAGTTCTATAAATTCTAGTACATTTTACAAAACTGTAAGATTTGATATTTTAAGTGAAAAAATGCTAACAAAAAAGTAAATCGTATTTTAACTGTAAAAGAATCTGCCAGATATGATCAAGGTTATATTGAAGCTTAATTATCTGATGCTCCATCGAAAATTTGATCTGTATCTGAAATATTGGAACAAACAGACTGATAAAACTGCTAATAAACATTTTTTCGCTTAGCATTGTTATCACAACACAATAATGATAAAGCTGGATCAGCAGACATTTGGATGAATACTAAAAGAAAGAATAAGTGGTACGAGCCATTATACTCCCATATCTTGTGAATGTAGCCGATATACTACCCTCCTGATAGTTATTCCTCTCTAAAAATATATCAGGCTGTACCCACCTATTACTTTTTCATAAAAACTTCTATTGTCGATTTTACACGTCTAGCACCGTATTAACGATGAAGATACTTTTCAACCTCAAATTTTACGACAAAATTAAGATTCGTAATGAGAAACCTTCGATTATTCTCAACAGATGTAATTTAAACTTAGCAGAAGATCGAAGTATTATGTAATATCGCTGAGTGGAAACGAGAAATACTACTAAATCAATTGAATCATCTACTGACAATTACTCTTCCAATATTATTCAACGATATTCATGTTTCTAACTCATAGAGCAATTTCAAAAACTAAAATTCCATAATTTCCTACTCTCTATTTGAAATATTGAAATTACTATTGAATTTTTTCTGTCATTGTTCAACTAACATCAATAAAGAAACAATATGTTGCCCATTATATAAAAGTTTGGATATAACATGCACATGTATTATTGACATAATAGATGAAAATCGATTCATCACCAAAAGACTAAAATGTCCGTGTTATCGATGCTACATTTCAATATCAATAGTCAAACTTCAACAACATCGAAATACGCATTATGGTAGCTATGTTGCACTCGTTTATATATGTAATCAAGAAAAAGAGATCAGAGGAAGAAGATAATAATAGCACAGAGAGAGAGATGAACAAGTTAAGAAGGTGTGGGTGTCGATTAACAACACACTTACATCTCCACCAAAATCAATGAAAACATAGAAAAGGTGGATGAAGGAATTTTCAAATTGTTTTCGAATCTGAATTTGAATTTCAGAAATATCTTTGTTCTTACTTGAGGAATACAAATGAATAAAGATAAAACACATAAGAATAAAAAGAGTAAATTAAAATAGATAACTTGGTGATGTTGTTGTTGAGATATATAATGAATAAAAGATTTTTGTTTTCAGAAGAGAAAAGAAAAAGAAAGGACTGATAGATTCGATTTATGATCAATGTATCACTTTAACAATTCGAGTGAAGAAAAATGTTTATAATCATTCAGTTTAACCAGTACAAAGATAAATCCATTGAAGACTAGGATGTGGATGTGGCTGCGGATTTTCTATTAATCACATCCACATCCGAAATTCCATTTGTGTGTAAAAATGGTCTTTATTATATTGAAAATGAATCTGAAGTTTATGGATAGTTAGAAATAGATGTTCAAAAACAATTAAAACGATAAATTAAAGTCATAATTGAACAAATTAAAATGAAATATGAAAGTAATATATGGGACAAAAGTTCGCGACATATCAATATATTTTTGCAGCTACGCGAGCAATTTTAACAAATGTTCCTTTATCAATTGTAGAGCTTGTAGAGCTTTTCACGCTCCATCTTGTGGTGTATTTTATTTTTTTAATAACATGCATTAGGTAATGAAAAAAATGAAATGAATTATATGTGTCGAAAAATAACGATATTTTCATAGCGTCGAAAATCGGTCGCACAGAATTTTGCTTTCTTTAAAACAAAAAGTGCACAATTAAAATGAGCTGTAGTTTGCAGATTGTAGAGCTTTTCATGTTGCATCTTGTGACATATTTTACTTTTTAATACAACATATTGAGTGATGAAAAACTGAAATGCCAAATACGACCGTGTAATCTGCTCCACCCATTATTTTTT